CGAACGTGAGGGGGCACATGAGTGCTCAGAATCCGAGGGTAGCTCGTTCCTCATTTTGATGAGTGAAAACAAGGAAGAAAGAGCTCTTTCTGAGGAAGTTGTGTATTTCATTTTGTATGTCGAAAGGCTCAACTGGAAATCCATTTCCATGAGAGAAAAGGGGTACCATGCGTGCCTTCCTAAATTACTTCATACTATCACTTTCTCCTTACACTTCTCTTGTTTTTCTCCCTTTGATTTTACATTTCCATCAAATATATTATGTATTCTTGGATAATGAGCTAATCAGAGTAGATATACCTAGGAAGTCCTGATATTTAAAGGATTATTTAGCCTTCCGATATAAGATCTGGTACCCGACTAGGGCCTGTAGATGTGACTACGAGATCAACTAACCCCAGTGAAGTAATAGTCCGATGCGCTAATAAACCGTCCATGTTTAGCACCGGAATTAGCTACTCTCATCTTTCGAAGATTTGACTTATAATTTCGACGTTATCCATACCTCGAAACTTTCAGAATATTTGAGGAGTATAAAACTTTGTCTCCCAAGCTAGCTTATAGCTATACCAATATATATGGGTGGGTTTATCATGGCCTCTCACAAATTAGTTGCGACTTGGTCATCGGTATCATTTTGGCTGAAACCTCACTCCGGTCAACCGTTCAACGAGAAGATACGTTGAATAACAAGATTAGAGCTGTGGAAAAGCTTACAGACATCGATAGTAACTCTTCACAACTTAAGCAACTCAAGCAACTCGAAAAGTAGTTGGAGAAACTCAAAAAAAAAAAAAATACGTTCCCATCAAGTACGAACACTCTACGAATGGGAGTGTATGATCCGTGTGGGATCATCGAGAAGAGGCTACATTTCAGTGAAGAGCAATCCTGCTTTGTATCTCCGAGAAGAGCTTATTGAAGACTGCGTTAGCAGAGAGGGTTGCTGTAGCCGGGACTGTGGATGCTGCGAGAGACGTCGATTAACCGCCAAAAATGGGAAAGATATCGGACATTGTACCGTTGAATGTATGTGTTGTATATATGACCGAGAGTCTGAGTTTACGGTGGAAGAGAAGAAGGATTTGAATGACCGGTTCGTTAACATGCTTCGGTCTAACAATGCTGCCTTTTTTCTAAGGATTGCAAATGGGTACTTTTCGAAACCTCTGTTCTGGAAAATCAAGACCAAGCACAAGTAACAAGACCTAGTTTTGGCGATGATTGCTCGATATTTGGTTGCTCTGCGTTTTCTTGCTGTTTGATAGCATCTTCTCAATATGATACTTGGTCTAGTTGTCTTCTCTTGGTGTCTACGATATACATACAATATGCATACATACGAGTGGACCGGGCGTTTCGGGGGAAAAAAAACGAGGATTGGATGGATGTTTCTTGTTTCTTTCAAAAAAAAAAAAAAACACATGGCTTTATTTCCTATTCTTTGAATGCTCTACCAGAATATAGCACATGAGATCCTGAAGGAAGGGAAGGAAGGGAAGGAAGGGAAGGAAGGAAGGAAGGAAGAAAGAAAGAAAGAGAGAAAGGAATAAATGAGTTTCTCCAACAATTTAGCTAATCGGATAATGTCTCACACGCTAACCAGGTAGGAGTGTAGCTGCATATGTAAGTCGGCTGTACTCTGTCACCGATGTTTTGCCGATCTGCCACGTGGACTTGAAGGTCCTTTTGTTCCCGTGTGGCTCCTCTGCCGTGTCTACCGTGAAGGTGGAGTTGTCTGCCTGGTGGGTATACAAAGTACATACATACATCGTATGGTGACCCATCGGAGTTTTCTTTGTTTCTCTTTTTTGGCCTTATTTTTACGTACATCGTAGATCAGATACGTAGTACAAGTAGTTGGACCTAGTTAATATTTTGCTTACAAACATGTTTTATATAAAACAAGATAGTTGGCCGTATATGGGGGATTTTCACGTCTTTTTAGTAGCCTTTTTAGTAGTCTTTTATTTAACCCTTGATATACTTTGTGAGTGTGTGTGTGTGTGTGTACACTCGTTCTCGTCAAGTATACCTAATTAGGTTGTCTAACATTTTAAGTAATCCCTAGCGTGGATATACCTGCAAAATTGAAAATTGACACTTGCCAAGCCTTAGTCTTCCCAAAATCAGTAGAAATTTCAGGAACAGGAGAAAAACAACAAAGCACCGACATCAGAACCAAAATTTTTCCAGGATGTTGCCCCTTAATCAAGAAAAACAGGAGAAATAGGCGAAACAGACACTCATCTAGGTATATAGTGGCCCGCCGAACCATGGAACTACCCGAAACAGGCTTCTTAGCGTCTTCCAGAATCCTTCTAGAAGGCTTCTAGCGTTTCCAAGTGATTTTGCCACACCGGAGTTCTCCGTTAACCCCCGTTCGACCGTGACTACCTAGGTATGGATGACTCCATGCATGATTCAGGTCATTTTTCAAAGTCTGGTTCGACAATCCATAATCTAAAATCATTTAAAGTCTATGACGTGGTTCCCTACTACACTCCCATCCTGCACTATCTGTTTTCAGCAAGTGGAGTCGACCATGAACGGGTACAATCCACCGTATTTTATGTCAGTATACGGTATAATATACGGGTATAATACACACGGGCAAAAGGGTCATATTACTATAAACGGCCTATACGGAGTAGAGACCTCGGGTATATGATGTGTACACCTCAACCACTTCCACTCCCGTTTGTGTGAACAAAGTTCAACTTCGCAACATTGAAGATCATCTCTTATCTACTCCGTATATGCCCGCAGATCGGAACATTGATGATTACGTATATGGGAAAAGACCCACTCGGCATTTCTCACAAGCAATCGGGATGTCCGAGAACAACTGATATTCGAGTCCAGCGAGTCCAAAGTACACGACTAAAGCCGTAAATCCGATTAGGGCTTCAAACATGAATATCAGCACGGCAGCTCCGTACCAAGCGCCCAGAGATGGTCCATATGTACTATGTACCCGTCTCCCCCAGCGTGCCATTGAATAGGCAACAGATCCGATGAGGCTCTGTTCACCCAGTGCTGCGTGCACGGAATTCTACTAGTGTGTTCACTAGTCTTGCAAGGAGAGTTTCTGTCAATCAGGACTCTTTCTTTGTCAGGATCGTCATCCTGGCAGGATTGGACATGTGGCTGAATAACAAAGTACGGAGGAGAGGTCGTTGCGCAAGCCACATGGTCCCAATACGGGGATCATCACTAGGCACCTTGCTTACGAGTCGTGGCCTACTGTAACTAGGGGATGATCAGATCTGTGCTCGAGGTCTAAATTATCGACCTCTCTGGTATTCCACGTGGCAACCTCAGCTATACATCCCCCACATGTGTGCAGCTCCCGACAGATTCGACCCCTGCAATGTGATAGGTAGTTTCGGGATTTTCTTAGCCGTTCTAAATCTGGACTATTGATGGGGCTTCGGGAACGAAGATCGATCCTGCAATTGAAGATTGAGATGATGTGGCGATCTAGAACATCTAAAGGTACTTTAGGATATCAAGGGGTAGTGAAAGGTGAACACCGAGATTCATCTAGGCCTTCTCTATCCCCGGCCTGGCCCAAATCTAAATATGTACTTCACCCAGCAACTACCCCGAGGCTAGGGCTCACTAGGTGTTTAGAGTTTAGCATGGCTAGCTCGTCTAGGGAGCATCAGAGCATAGTTGGAATCCCAACCGCGCAAGCCACATTCCTACAGAAAAGGAAACTAGTCCTCGGATGTTGGTTCCCTGAATTCCGGAGAGATCTGCGTACAACCATGCAGTTCGGGGTATGTATGAAGTACACCTGCTACATGCAGGGACCCTCGAATAGGCAAGGAGGTGTAATATGTGGCTAGGAAAGTAAGTTGCCTGCACTCCGTATGGAGTACTAATTACAAAGTATAGAATATGAGAATTGTTCTATGTATCTTTTCGGCAAGGTATGTCCCATAGCTAACTCCTGTACATAAGCTTTCCATTTGTGCTGATCGACATCTAGGGACAACCCTGACCCTGAAATGAGGGTTGTTAACTTTTGTCCTAAATGGGTAGGATTGGAATCTTGGCAGCTTATGTCTGATGATTTGGGTCTTTGATTTATTTGACTTTTCATGACTCGAGTCGAAACGTGTATCTGGTGCAATCCACATTATATTTATATCATATGCATCTGGGTGGTGACTATTACCCCTGAATATTCAAGCCTGCAGGAATCCCTTGTCGCGTGGCCACCAGGGATGTTGACAGCTGGAGAAATACAATACCATGTGGCATAAGTTACATGTATGTAATAATCAATACAATATTACATACCGTACTGCTTCCAGAGATCAACCAAAAGACCACTGAAGCCCTGAAGTCTCATTCGGCTCAGTCATATCTTTCTGCTTACCGTTGAAATGTCTGACCGCAACTTTAGACTCTTAATAGGAAAACCTCCGTGAGCCAATCTGTTAGCGGGGCTCAATATTGGATAGCTTCAATCCACTTTAACTTACTAGGCGGAACAAACCGACAGGGATAGTTTCCACTAGTTTCCTTTTAGGACTAGCGCGTCACAATAATGGATCTGATGTGCAAGACTAATTGTATTGAAAATAATCTACTCGTATAGATATATGAAGTACGGAGTACAAGGGTATAGAGTACGGAGTTATCGAATTATTCGCTAACCCACCCCTTGAATTGTTCACTTTGTTTTATCAAGACTCCTTGAAACTAGCTTAAACCCCATCCCTCTTAATATAGAGCCGCACGGAAGTAATTCGAGCCACATCGGCATTGCTCATACAGGGCTGAGCCGAAATGGTGCGGCCGGAAAACCCCCAACCCCCTTTTGGCCCCCAATGTCATCACATAAGCAGGCACCCCTCCCCGGGCCCCTTTGGGGACCTCGGGATGAGAAACTGTTTTGCCTGGATTATCTGCCCATCTCCCCTGCTTCAATCTCCACGTGGCACCGTTCGATCCTACTGGATAGATCTCAACAGTTTACAGTAGATATGACACGTCGCCTATTCGAATGTTCTTATCGCCTTCCAAGTTTCGTGATGTACTGTGTCATATCCGATCTGCGCTATCCAATTTAACTTCCGTTGGCTAATCTCGTCTTGTGGGGGAAGCCAATCCCGTATCATATACTCCGTAGTATGCAATCACCGTGTATCTTTGCTTAATCTGTCTTTTCTGGCTAGGTCTGAGCGGTCTAGTCTAAACCTTTTAGTTGAAGATCTAGGTACTTGTGTTGTGTCTACTCCAGAGTACTCTGTATACTGTACGCAGAATACACCTTGTTTAGGCATGGCTGGCCGGCACCTGGCGGATGAAACTCGCACTGACATCTTGCATTGCCGTTTCGCGTGACCTGTTCCGGGAGGTCTAGTTGGTCAGCCCTGTTTCTCCGCAAGCACTGACTCTTAAAGGGGTCTTTGCTGACGTGTCTGATAGCTTGATCCAGACAGGATCGTTGACTAGCTTTTCTGAAACTCCCAATTGGGAGCGTGGTTCATGCAACTGAAATCCTTGGGGCCATATCTGTGCCCTCGTGTTGGGGGCGTTGGGCGCTATCTCAATGAGAATCAAGGGTAAGATGAGGCTCTCGGGGTGACCGTTGGCGTTAGCTCGCTAACGTCAGTCCCCGACCGCGGAGAAAGTGAGATTACCAACCCCTGCATTCGCTGCGCATTGGTCACCTCGTATTTCCAAGAACTGATAGATGATAACAAAATTGACGATCATGATCTGACCCTCCAGAACTTGGCGGGTAGGCAACACTAGGGCGTCTCCGGTTTGAAAGCGTCAATTGTTTCGCCAAGGCGGTAAAATCCCGTGCTTTTCGCGAAACCTGAACGGAGACGAAGCTGAAACACGGTCTTCAGGAACCGGGATACATACGGAGTACGGAGTACACGAACCGAAACCGTTGAAGGGTAGTAATCTACGCTTGTGATTATATGGAATTTATTAGCGAAACATCCCCATATCGCGACCCGTAACTCAGACCTCAGGGCAATGATTCGCGAGACTGCGCCTCCCTCTAAGCGCAAAACAGTAAAAGGGGATTTGGCGGTCAGACGCTAAGCATATCTCTCCACGTGTGCCCACGTGGGACCACATGGGTTATGCACACGAAATGAAAAGAAGACGCTTGGAATCGCCATGGAAGCCTGGAGAATAGGACTTTTTTTTCCCTTGACCGCCTTGATATATTTTCAGATTACACGCAAGGTCCTCAAAAGGGAAATACCCCTCCCCCCACTATGACTATTTAATCTTGTATACATTTTCCGGTACAATAACGGGATCATATATTAATTATCGTGTCTCCCTTTCGCGCTGTGTAATATAGTGTAGTTTCAGGATCAAAGCCTATATGCGACCCGCCAAATTAGGATTAGCGACGAGACGAAACACTCGCAGCGTTTGGTTCAATATACGAAAAGCGTTCCAAGGTTCCTATTATCCCCACCATTGGACGATCGAGTGGAAGTGGGGGGGGCTTGGTCCGATGGCGACATGTGATGCTCACTGTAGGAGGAAGTTTCTGAATTTCTGGAGACAGTGTAATTAGGTAAATGATGCCCACTCTTCGGCAAGATTCCGGACTTAGTGTACGGAGTACAATATCGATAATAACGTCTCTTGATCTATTTTCCGACCATGCTTGAGGTGGCTTGGAGTGGGCCGATTTCTAGGAATAAGCACAAAAAAGCCCCGTTGTCATATCTAGGTAGATTAGTCCAGGGTTTGCCACTCGATAAGGTTAACAGGACTCCCATGGTAGTTATGATGATAATATCAACATCATATCCCATCAATATAACGTTAGTATTTCGGGAAGTGTAAGGATTCCCACGTGGGCTCAAGCTTTACATCATTACCTGTTTTGTCAGCATACAGCTTACGAATCATAAATGGTGAAATGGCGTATATTTTATCAAAGCGGAGAGTAGATCATTCAAAAGACAACCCCAAATCAGGGTACTATAATATACGTTATTATAGATAGCATATAGGTAACACTGAAGATTCAGATCTGGATTTTCCCGTTAATACTCCGAAGCTTCAGGTGTTTATCCAAAAAACAAAAAAAGAACCCAGAGAACTAGTCCCAAGTCAGTAAGGTAGTAGTGACTCAGACAGGGGGAATTTAAGAACAATGAAACGGGTTGGGTATGCAACATTCAAATGTTTCAATGTTGAATGTTCAGGTTACCTGTATTACCAATACGGCCGTATTACGATCTAGCGGATCTGTTCGGTCGGCCTTGGAACATCGGTAAAAAAAATCAATGAAATCATTGGAACAGATTTTGGGGGATCCATTCTTTTTAATTAATTCTTTGGCTCCATCGGTTGATTTGGAATTCATCCAAACTATGAGAATAGACTATCAGTGGACTATACTCCGTAGAATCCAATATTCACATTATCCCAGCCATTTGGTTAAGGTATACTTCAACCTTCCCCTTACATTCAAAATGCAACCTGGCAGAATCTATTAAACAGAAATTTGAAAGACCAAGTATGTACTCCGTACTATGCAGGTATGGTATTGTACATATGTAATACCAGACCCCGGAACCCACCGATCTTCATGGCCCACGTTGTTTGGATGCATCAGGCCAAACTCTTTCGGGGCTCACGCGTGGGCTGTGGATCATAGGCTGACAGGCCGAATGGTGCTTCTCTTCCTTTTTATTTGCTTTTTATTTTCTTTTTTATTTCCCATTTTTATTTTCCACTTTTCTCATTTATTTTTCCTATTTCTTTTTTTTTAAATTTTTTTAAAAAAATATATTATTTTCCCTTCGATCCCGCTCCTCTCCCCCCTTTAGACCCATCTTTCTTCTACTCCTCCTTTTCTTTTCTATTGGAATTGATTCGAGAGAAAAAAGGAAAATAATAAGAGGAAATTGTCATAGTGTATAATTTCCTTACTCTCCCACTTCTTACCCATATTTTTTTTTTTTTTTTTTTTTTTTTTTACATTTTTTACCTTTGAGAATTAGCAAGTCCACTTCTTAATTTTTTCTTTTTCTTTTTTTTTTTACCCAATTCTTTTTTTTTTGCAAAAAAAAAAAAAAAAAATTCCATGTTTTTTTCCGGTATCAGGTGTTTGGCATAACCCACTTTTCCCTCCCTCTGGTTCAACCCGAAGACTCAAAACCATTCAATGCCAACCCAAACCGGGAGCCACACCCGAGAAGATTCTCTCCCTTCAGTTCCTGATTTTGATTTTGGCGGTACTATCTCCCGCAATCGTCGCTCTTTCGCTGCCTTAGCACAGAAAACTTCCAACGCTCTTGCTAGTTTATCTGGAAGTACACTACGTTCTTCAACTTCATACGGTAGCCTATCGAAACCGCATAAGCTCTCCGCAACCCCTGTGACCCCACCATTCGACAGCGACACCTACGTGCAATTGACGGGAACTTCGCGCCCTTCTTCTCCGGCCTTGGTCGACAATCCTCCTAGTTCGCTTCCAAAGCGTCGCTTGACTATTCAGCGTCTTCCTACTCCGCCCCACGAAACCCGCCCTCCCCCGCCCGCACCCAAAATGCATCAGACGTCGTCAAGGTTACTGCGCATGACCGAGGATGAGCGACCATTCACCAAGGTAGGTTGAAACTATGAATGGGAAAGGAAATATTGGAACAATTGGGCTGATTTGCGTAGGATTTCATGGACTTGTTCTCCACATTGATGGTCAGCTTGAAGTTGGATTCGCACCGCGTTCGTTTCACAAGATATGACCACACATTCACCTCAGAAGAGGCCATCAACAACTTGGGCTCCCTCAAGTTCTCCCAGTCCAACCGCATGCCCGACCCAAAGGACCCATCCCGCATCGTCACGACTACAACGACCACTACTTTCTCCATGGCCAAGGAAATGGCCCGATCCGTTTGTCAGCGGTTCGTCGATGCGCGCTTCATTGAATCTGTCGACGGCAAAGCGCTTTTGATCTTCCCGCTCAAGGGCGCCCTCTTCCAGCTCACCCCGAAGGGTATCAACATCCTGCAGCGTTTCTGCCAGCGGAATGGCATCACCGCTCGTCACGTGATGGATGTACTAGAGTCGCCACGCAACACCATGCAGCTGGTGAACCTAGAGCGTGACACGGAAAGCGACAAGCTATCCCATGATCGCGCGACGATCGAGGTCATTTTCCGCCGCTTTGCTGGTCAGGATGGCCCGAATATTAAGAGCAGTATTTCAACATCGGATTCCGACTCGCTCAGTGATTACACCAACGGCGTTGGTGTGAAGGTTGCTCGGGAGCGCAAGCTTCTCGATGGAAAGGTTTATAGCAACACATTCACCGGGAAAGCATCGGTGGACTGGTTGATGGATTGTTCAACTACTATTGAGCGTCGGGAAACCTGCTTGATTTCCGAGTTGTTCCTCAAGTACGGTCTGATCACGATGATTCAAGACGACAAACAATACCCTGATGTTGGGACCAACGCTCATTTCCAGCCTTCCAAGTATGCCATTTACGGCATTACTGAGCGTGGACAGCGCGTATGTGGATGGATTGCCCGCGAGAAGACCCGCGAGGTTGCGACGACATACGACAGCCGTGGTATGCCACGCGACTCCAATAATGCCCGATTGACCCACATCCTGCAGGACCCCGCTCTGCGTCTGCTTTTCCGTGAATTCCTTCGCTACTCGTTGTGTGAGGAGAACCTGTCTTTCTATCTCGATGTCTCGGAATTCACTACGAACTACCACAAGGCCGAGAAGATGGGTACATTTAATAAGGTTGATTCGGTGCGGGAAACTTTGGCGGCAGCATATGGATTGTACAACGCGTTTTTGGCTCCCGGCTCACCCTGTGAGCTGAACATCGACCACGCGCTCCGCAACAGCCTCGCCAGCCGCATGACCAAGGCTGTGGGAGACGACGAGTCCATGTTCAAGAGTCTCCAAGAAGTGGTGCACCTGTTCGAGCTTGCTCAAACTTCTGTGTTCAAACTGATGTCAAGCGACTCCGTCCCCAAGTTCCTGCGCGACCCCAAATACTCCGTTGTTCTACAAGAACACGATGTAGACATCCTGGGAGGCCCACGTTCATACTCGCCCACGCCAGCCAATGCGCCTTCAATTCCAGAACGCAGCATGAGTCGCTCTGCGCGTGCCTGACAACCACCGCCCACAAGCATTGACATAGTCCGCAACCCATTCGAAGACGATTCGTATCACTGCGATTCCGACTCCGACTCATCATGAGCTCCCCCTTTCGGTGTATTACTGCCCGAACCATTCAACACACGCAGTCTGGAAATCAGCATTCGAATGCCATCCCAAGGCACAGATCGAATCCAACCACCCTGCAAACCTGCACTCATGCTTGTGGCCCCAACACGGAAACCCCCGTCGCCTTATACAAAAGGGGGATACGAAACCGGTCGACCTTGACACCCGATTTCATCAATCTCGTCATGATCGTTTCCGACCACGAAGTTCTTTACTCTCCCTCTCTCCCCCGCATGCAGTCCAGTCACACCCTCTTGACGAGAGTGTCTCTGGCTGCCATATCCATTTTTCCTTTTTTTAATCCACTCGTCACGAGATTCTCCCACTCCGAACGAAAGAAGTTATGATCGATGGCTCATGTTATAGAGAAGTCCGGAACTGGAAAATATTTGTAATATTTGGATGGCATTGCTTTTGTTTTTCTTTTTTTTATATTCCCTTACTCTTCGCATTTCCCTCCATCTCTCTCCCTCCGGGGGAAGTGTTGAAAGGGAAGACTTCAGAAGAATCAGAAAAAACAAAAAAAACAAAACATTGAAAACATGAAAGATTGGAGAGGTTGTTTCTTTTCCTTTTTGAGCATCAGACCCGGCGTTCCTTGCATGTCCTTTTTCTTATTCTATTCTCTGTTCTCTTCCATACAGTTGAACTCACCATCCTTCCTGCATTTTGTTTTTTTTTGATCTCTTCATTTGAGCATGTCATATGATTCCATATTTCTTTTTTTCTGCTTTTCTTTCTATCTCCATTTCCATTTCCCGAGTCGTTTTCCCCCTCAAGTTCCCTGCATCGTTCTACCCGGGCACAGCGAGTGAGTTCTGGTCTGCTTGTGTATGTCATATTATTCTTTAATTGGGAATTCCAATGAACATGATCTTATATTCTCATATCTTCCAAGTAAATATTCAACGGAGTTTGTGTTTTAGTTGTAGACAGGGCTATTTTGACACGGGGGAGTAGGACCTTTAGAGTGTGCTATAAACTACTTTTATATCAAACAGAAGTCCAAATTACATACTGAAATTCAAATGCATTTTGAGCCTAGGTCAAACTATACATACACAGAAACATGATAGGAACAAATAGGAAAAAGAAAAGACAACCACAACGCCTAGAACTGCGCCTTGAATGCCAACGGTCATCATATTCTTGGAAAATGGAGGGTATTGAGAGAACAAGATGACAGGAAATCGAGAAAAGAGAACAGAGACCCCAAAAAAGAAGAAGCAAAAAAGTTCTACTTAGTTCCCCATCCACGAAGTCTCATTCCCTCCTCAATAGCAGTCCAAATACCCTCAACAACCTCCCGATCCCGCCACCGTCCACCACCATGAACACCATTCTTCTCGTCCCAGCGCTCAACAGCATAAGTCGAAACACCACGACCCCATCCCTTAACCTGGCTAGGGACATCCTCACCCCGCCATCCGACATACACACCGGTAGCATGCTTGAACAGCTCCGGCGGCGAAGACCACTTGTAAGACTTGAACTGCCAGGTCTGGCCGGTAGTAAAGACAGCGACGAGTCGGTTCCAGTACTCGGGCTTGAAGTTGGTTGTTCCGTCGACGACAATGAACTTGGTTGGACGGGTGGGCTTTCCGGGGCGGGAACCTGCGCTTGCGCCGGGGTTCGAGGCGTCGCCGTTCAGACGAAGTGGTCGCTCGAGCTTCACGAGATTGGCGTCGGTGGCGCTGGAGAGTGTTGGGTGGTCCGGGGGTACGAAGATTCCTTCTTCGAGGAAGGATTTCACGTTCGACATGCGGATGAGGGATGAGGCGGAGGGGGAGATTAGGATGATTGGGTCGGGGCGGGAGTGGGAGGAGCTCGATTTGCGCGATGATGACATCGAGAGACCGGCTGATGGGGCCGGGATGGTGCCCTTGCTGCCTGGTTTGGCGTTTGGTTGGCCCGGGCGACTGCGGTTGCGGTCAAGGAATAATTCGGCGCTCTTGCGGACGTGTGAGAAATCCTTGGGGAGTTGGTTAGCTTGACGTCTATCGCATCTTGTCTATAGTAAACTCACTGTCGGCTTGATTCCCCGCAGCACTGTGTTGCGGTCACCGGTCTTGCGCTCCCCATTGTAAATCTCCTGTAGTCGAGGGTCAATCTGCTTTTGTGGGCGGCCAACTTGAGTGCCAGGCTGGGCTGCTCCTGTGGTTCCACTGGGGACGGAGGTGACGCCACCAATTGCACCGGCGGCAATTCCGGCGGCGTTATCGGCCTGCGCAACACCTGCAGCCGCCGCGGCGGCCTCAGCAGCGGCAGCGGCACCCTCGAGGGGTTTGATATGTTCGCTGTCGTCGGAGGCACCCTCTAGCCAGGTGAAAAGGTCAAGGCGCTCGAGGAAGATAAGAATCTGGACACTTTCTTCCTTGGCACCCTCTTTCGTCTGCTGCTTCAATGCTTCATTGAACTCCTGCGCCTTGGCGATGTACTCGGGAATGGCGACATCTTTGTTCTGCCAGGCGAAAAGGATACTGCGCAGGTCAACAGGGGATTTGGTAGACGCTGAGATAAATCGTGTGAGAGTTGACAAAGCGATTGTTTGAGGAGCTGGTTGGGCGAAGTAGAGATGTGTGGCTTTGGCCAGGTCGTCTGTGGCAGGTTGGTCGGAGAGCTCGGACGAGGTTGTCGGTGTTGGGAGGTTGCCAGAGGCAATCGCACGTCGCAGTGCCAGGAGAGGATCTTGGAGTGCGGCCTCGGATGCCATTGTTGTAGATAGGGCAGTGGCCCTTGGTTGCAGCAGGTATATGTAAAAAAGTTGTCGGGGCTGGGATTGAAGAACGCGCATTTGGAGTCGAAGCTCCGTAGACTGCACGTGACGCGGTATTCCAGTACATTTCAAGTAGGACCTTTGACATTCTACACAAAGAATAATTTGAGTAAAATATTTTCATAAAGAGATAGCTACCATTTGATTCTATTCATCCGCCTTTTCTTTGCCATCCATTCCTTACTATGCACCGACAATCACTGTCTATTCTCTGCTCATGTACTTCACGACTGTTCCGAACAAATCAACGAAGACAGCGCAGTGCAGGGCTGATATACCTCCACATCCAGCTCCATGCACCGAAAAACGCCGTGATACCAGTGAAAAGAATGAGCGTTCCATACTGGGTCTCGTAACCAGTATTACCATTCAGACCACCCGACTCCCCCAAAGACCCCGACTTAAGCAGCACTGTACTCAACGGCCCACTAATAACATTTCCAATTCCTCGTCCACCAGCAAGAAGCCCAAAGACAAGTCCAGTATCCAGAGATGGCGACGAGTCACGCTTGATCTGAGTAATGACTCCAGACCAGGTGGAGCTGAACCCACCAGCAAAGAAGCCATACGTGATAGAGAAGATAGTAAGAAGGGCAATGGCTGTCTGTGATGAATCTGCGCTTGACGATGATGCCATACCCCAGAAAAGAAGTACCGATAATGCCGATCCAACTGAGGATACCAGCATGATGTTTGTGACTGAGAAGCGGTCACAGAGTGCTCCCAGGGCTATCCCACCAAAGACAGATGTTGCGTTGAATAATGAGACAAGCATTGTACCGGTGTTCTGGGATAGCCCGACAGTCCTTGTCGAATAAGAAGGGAGGAATGTAGTTGGTAAGAAATATCCAAAACTCTGGATAATATTCCCCGTTTGCAGCATCCAGAAAGTGGGTTGTTTGAGGAAGCTCAGATCCAAGCGGCGTGCTGAAGAAGATGGCGAGATTGGGATACGGGGTTTCATGAATGGCAAGGCCATAAGGGTGGTTAACAACTGTATTCCGACAATTCAGATTTGTGTCAGCCGTAGGTTGAGAATGTGAAGATCATTGGTAGCCCGATGGTTCGGTATCAAACCCAAGACACGTCTTATACTTCAATTCACAAAAATAAAGATACCGAGGAGAGGATCTGGTTCATACCGTAACGACAGTCCAAGCCCTTAGTGTATTACTGGAGCCAAACCTATTCAAACAAGCACTAGCAGTGAAAGGCAAGGCGACTCCAACAATACTCTTTGCAGCCCACATAGTCCCAAGAGCAAGGCCCTTCCGACGCAAGAACCACTGGTCAAGGTACAAAGAGGACGGACTGAACAAGAGCCCATTCCCAATGGCACACATGACACCCTGGGTGGCAATCAAATGCCATACCTGCTCCGAAAATGAGGATAATAGAGATCCTATGACGGTGATAACCAGGCCGGCGGGTGCGGAATAGTATTGTAGATGCGGATATCTTGTTAGAAGGGTGAAAGTGATAGGCGAGAGAAGATAAAGGAGTCCCTAGAATAAAGCATTAGACTAGACTGAAGACAATGTCCTAGCTTATCTTTTGCATACGGTGGAAGTAGTTCCAACGGTTGCCAGGTCATTCTTGTTTCCCTGGAGGACGTCATGTGTTGAGTAGAACTCTTGAAAAACACCAAAGACAGTGGAGAACCCTGGATGCTTCGTTAGTATCTACATGCTGTTTTTGTTTTGTTTTTTTCAGTCACAACAGACCCCAGACTGGTATCTGAATGAAGCAGCACGAAGCTAACATCAGCCATGCAGCCTTACCTCCATCTGCTGGAGGAAGCGTGGGCTGCTCGATCTCAGAGACCTCTGTAGATCTGTGAGGATCAATCTCGTTCAGCACGAGGATATCATGATTAGAATTGTTCATTTTGATTTGGAATCAATGCATATGAGTTGTAGATGAGATCAAAGGTAATAAAAGAAGAAACGAGGGGTCGCGTGAGGAGTTTCCCCTCGCAACGATTGAGTCATCTTGTGCTTTCAGCCTATCATCTCGCATAGTCAAATCGAGCAAGCTTGACCTTGTTTCGAAAAGAAAGGGCTATAACCTGGCTTTGAGATTAGAAACAACCTCTTGACACAGAGAGATATCAGAGAATAAAACATGCTATGTGGGAGATATACCGATCTATACTCCCCTACCAACCTACAACAGTGAGACCAATCAAATAGGACAAAGTTACATTGTTCATACAAGCTATCTAGCCTCGAAAAGAGGCCATACATATCCAGGATTAAACTGGACAAATCGTAAAAGATCAAGTGCTGCAACTCAGGCAGACACAATTCTCAAAGACCCTGACCCCAATGGTATTTCCCATAACCGAGAACCGATCCCAAACCACGCCATACGCCATCCACAGCCCGAAAAGTAGGAGGGGAAAAAAAGAGAAGCCGGCACAGAAAACATAAAAAGAAAAGTTGAAACAAGTAGTCCGAACGCCCGTGCCCGCCTCGCTGTAAGGTATCGAAATGAAATCACACGAGAAAAGAAATTTTGGGTCGTAAAAAACGTTAAATCCACGGCGGAATTTTCCTTTTATCACAGGCCCACCATTACTACCACGCGGATGGTCGTATTACGAAGAGATAGACGGGTTTTTGGTGGGCGTTGTCTCCCGTGCATCCTCCATAGAGATATCGTGAGAGTCGGAGGGCTCGTTCTTGTCACCTCCAGCTTCGGTCCTGCGCGGAGGAGGTTGATGATTATCACCGAAGACCGTCGTGATGGCTAGAAAATGTTGGGTGCGCATACGAGTTTCGCTATGAAGCGGACCAGGAGCTGGGGGAGGAGCTGGGGCAGGAGTTGGTTCCGAAGTTGGGGTAGTCGTCATGGTGCCACGTCGAATCAGATAATCACCCAGACTGAGTTTCTTCTTGGCAGGTGTGGCTGCGAGTGCAGAGCCAGAAGATGGCACGAGAGAGATTGGGGAAGCCGTGTCATGAGAACTAGGTGATGCGAGACTCCCTGTCGACATGGAACTAGGACTAAGCGCTGACTGGAGGTTCGAGGCCCGTGGTGGTGGCATGGAACCATGCAAATTGCCGCGCTTGCCAGGCCCAGGAATCCTAAAGGTATGCGCCGCAGTAGATGGCCAATAAGGCAGAACTGACGACTTAGATGGATCACTGGTAGACACAGATGCGGGTGATTCCAGTTTGTATGAGATAGCGCCCCGAATGTCAACGTCGCCTTCGACGCGTCGCGCGGGAGGGTCAATGTGGATTCCTCTCAACGGGATCCCATTGTATTTGAGTTCGGGCTGGGGATACTTGGACTGGTGGAAAGACCACCGAAGGGGCACCGCGATGGGGCCGTTACCAGGAACTATTCCCATCAATTCGCAATCTTGGCTGAGCACCTCAATATGAGACCTGTCGTCGATTGGGAGCGGGAAAAAAGTGTACCACCAGGGGAGAACTCCAGGGGGCACGACACTGAAGTCACCGGCATACCATGCATCTCGCTGATCACAGTCCAGTCTGACGTGAAGTCCCGCACACCACCGAGCCTTAAGCATAACCATATGAGAGATCTGGCCGAGTTCGTATCCTCGCTTCCGACGTGCTTCAAGCAAAAAATCGATTTCAATGTCACCCTCGTCAAGTTGGATTTCAGCGTCGACATAAGCAACATCACGCCGGGATGATGATCCTGCCATCTCAGAGGATCGAGACGGGCCAGGCTCGTGATAAGGTTTGAAGTCGTAACCAGTTTGGGTGGAGCTTGAGACCGTTGCAGGGGTGGAATGTGCCGCAGGGCCACTAGAACGCTTTTTCCTTTTGGGATTGACGGGTTTAGACTGCTCTAGCTGCTGGAACTGCTTTTCGGCATCCGCTATCTTGCGTCTTTCGCGACTAGAGAGCTCTGGCAGTGTTAGCTGCTGCGACGCCGTGGGGCTGAGATCACGACTGCCAGTGTGTCGACCACGCGCAGAACCAGAAGTTGATCGGGCGTCGGCTGCGGGGTCATTCTCGTCAGGATGCTTGGTAGTCTCGCTACCGGCGCGACCGCTGTCAGTGGGAAGACCGAGGGATTTTGGCTTCTTGCCCTTGCCCTTGCCCTTCGGTTTCGGCTTGGCGTGTTTGTTGGTAGGGCCCCCTGGCTTCGCGCGACGATCAAGCTTGTTCAGTACGCAGGCTTGAGGGTTTCTGCAAGCACATCCACCGAAGTTGGCCAATGTGGTACTAATGCAAATAGCGGCGTCCTTCGGATCGACCACCCTATCTTTAAGCTCCTCCTTAGCTGTTGCGTCGGCGGGAAAGAAAGAGTGGTCGAAATACCACATGGTGGTAATTTCTGAGTTTGCAGGGATTTGCTTTTTAGCAACGAAACAAAAATGGTACTCCCGGCCATTGGTGATGTAGATCTTCAAGTTCACGTTGGCCTCACATGCCCGCCTGACGTAGCGGAGCTCGTTTCCCTCCTGACGACTGTCGATGTACAAGTCCAGCTGCCGGTTGAAGAACACAAAAGGCATGGCGTGCCCCAATTCCTCCCATCGGCTGCTGTCGAGCTTTTTGTAATCTTTGACGTGGCCTAATTTGCCAAAGATTTCACCGACAATATCGTCCTTTTCAATTTGATCTCGTGTCTTCAAGATCTTGTGGACGGGGTGTTTACCGTTGATCTCAATTGTCGAGTCCGTAATGGTTTCTGTCATCAACGAGGGCCAGCGAGACCGATCCATGGCCTCTTCGGACCGTTTGGCGAAGTCTTCCACACTGAGTCCATCGGCAACTCGCGCTAAGATCTGAGGGTCCTTCAGCCATGCCACAATTTCATTGACAAAATCCACGCCGTAATTGAGAATACTCTTCGATTCAATAAATTGATCATCGTGGTCGTAAAGAGAGAGAAATTCGTCCGAGTAGTAAGGGATAGAAGGACCAGGGGTGCTTGTCGGGCTCATTGCAACTGAGGTGGAGGACCGACGGTTTCGCGATTCAGCCGATAGACCCGGGGGAGCCGATATACCACTCATTGAAGTCGATGGGCGGCGAGACATCCTTGCTCTCTTGGCTGGTGGCTGTTCACGGGAACTCGAATCATGTCGCCTATGACCGAAGGCATTCCCATCGGCATCATTGGACTTTCTCTTGTTTGTTTTGGGGCCAGAGCGTCTTGGTTTCCGGTCACCGTCCTCGCTTTTCTCTCGGATCCGCCGCAGCCGTTGTCGTTCGTGGGCACGACGGTTGTCAAGGGGCCGTGGCTCGCAGTCGACACAGTTGTGCACATCTGGTACTTTCTTGTCCGGGTAGTAGCACAGAATATGCTGCCATGTCTCGCACCCTTCGCAGAAAACCGTATTACCATCATCTTCATCGAACGAGCAAATGCATTTGATGGTGTAAGGTTCTTCATCGGGTGCGCCGGAGTCGGAGGCGGCGCCGTCGACGGCGGCGGGGGACCCGCGATGGGCGTGGACCGGATAGGAATCCGTTGTGGCGTGCGTGATGGCGAGGGAGGAGGTATCTGTCATCGCCGACAGATAACCCCCTCTCAGGCGAAGACAAAATGATGTTTTCTCGACAGAGACGTAGCCAAGCTGTCACTGTTCAAATCGCATATCAATTTTTCTCGTGATCGTGTATGTTTCCAATCTCGTCTCGTTGGAGAGTGGACGCGTTGGAAAGTTGAAGATGGTGCGGTCACAAGAAGGAAGCGAAAGGGGGGAAGAAGTCGTAGAACCGATGATCGGAAGAGATGAGAAGAGGTTGGCGCAAAAGTTAAATGAGAGAAAGGAATAAAGAAAGGAAGAAAAGCGCGAAGAAAAGAGGGTAGAGGAAAGGAGAGGAAAAAGAAGAGAGTGAGTTTGAGGAACTGGAGACAGAGGAAGGAGGAGGCTACGGGGGCCTAAGGCAGAGAATGGGCCGTCCGGGTAGGCAGAGAGACCAAGTGTGTAAGGATGAAAGGGGGAGAGGTTGAGACTTGAGGGAAGGAGCGGGAGGACTTCGAGGAAGGAACGACTCGACCTGAAACCAACCATCCAAAGTGTCTCTCTCTCTCTCTTTCTCTTTCTTGGATTTCATTGTGAAAACTGACTGGACAGATTCCTGTTAATTTTGCAAAATTCCAAGGTTACCGGTACGGTAATTTGGTAATCTGCAAAACCGACTGTTCTCAGTAAGCCATGGAAATACACTAGCCCCAATATGGACTAGCGTTGTCCAATGTAGTGGGGAAAGTCACGGGAATGTCATTGGATGCCTAGGGCATCCCGGAGGTAGTCAATGGGGCAATCCATAGCTGACGGTTAGCATCTAGATGGATGAGAAGGAAACTGATATGGAGAAGGTAAAAAAGAACCATAGCTATACCCTCAGTCCAAAATGAGTCATGGGGCAGCCCTATTGGCCTTTCCAACGGGCTATAATAAAAGCCAGGCCTATCATGCAGTAAAGCAAGCGAGATATCACCATCAAAGTGAGCAAGAACCCCCCAAAAATAGTATAGATCTTGAGTGTGCTGGAAAGGGTTGTGATTTGGTTGTCCTTAAAACCTCTTAGGAAAACGGGGATTTTCTTGAGGAAGACAACGGAATTCCTACGAACTCGGCTCGGGAACGAAATCCGTGAGAACGCAAGGGAGAATAGGAGGCGATAAGGGTTACCTACGGGGAGTATTAGATGTTCAAAGAAGTGTTTAGGTAGGCCGATGAAGTATCCAGGCAGTATGACGGAGTATAAGGAAGTATGAAGAAGCAGGTAAAAAGTAACATGGGGAAAGGCGGGTAGAAAATGCTTAGGAGAGATAGGAGGGAAAGGATATCAAAGAGGGGCAAAAAAAGGTCATCTGCTCTTGTACGACAAGGTTTCAGGCATATATATACGGAGTAAGTATAAAATATATGAAAACCGGAAGAGAGAAAAGGGAAAAGAAGGAGGTTTTCGGGGGTTCCGACCCAAGTGGTAAAAGGGGGGCTTGTTAGAATTCCCATTATTATGATTTGGCGCCATTTCGCCACAAAGTACGGAGCACAAAGGAAGAAAAAAAAGAAAAAGAAAAAGATCAAATTGTCCGGTCAGTTTCGGTATCATAGATGGAAAACTTACTGTATTTTATATTATTTGGTACCTACATGTGTAGGTATTTTCACTTCTTTCTCTTTGGCACGACTTTATACATCGATGTATACGGAGTACCTAGATAGTACTGAATTACATATGTACATAGTTATTCAGATTTGTGCATGTTCTTCTATTTGGCAATCGCTATTATACAAACAGAAAAAAAAGCTCTTGAACTTGAAAGAAACGACAATTAATCTCTAACAATAACAGGCAATTCTGGGTCGCAGACATGCCGACTCCACAATTCCAATTCTATACCATCTCGCATGTTTCCTCGCATCAATCTCTCCATCGGTGTATTAGGAAGGCTCGGTGAACATGGTCTGACTGAGTCGCAACTCAAATGTCCCGGAACTCTCTGGGATCACATCAAGTTTACCCCGATGCGGGTACATCTTCGGTGCCCGAGGTTTTCTTGGTTCTTCGCGGTCGCCATGTCCGCGTCCACCCATCTCCAAGTGTCTTTCAATTTTGACAACGGGCAAAAAGTCTTGGAATCGATGGAATAAAAACAACAGGACGAATACAGCGATATTGACATATGGGGTGATCAGTCTGGCTGCTCGGGACCCGATCAGATTTCCCTTGGGTGCTGCCCACAAACCGCCGCTCAACAGCAGTAGGACACTGATCACCATCCCCAAATATGAGCCCAATGGCTGTGAAGAGAAACTATGCCGCCTGGCGATTCCGTTCACCTTGAGCCGTCGATCAAAGTGGCGATGGATGGTGCATGACACAAGCGAGGAAATGAAACCGGCGCTCGTGACAAGACGGAGGAGATAAATGTTCATGATTGTACTTGGAACTTTCACTGCAATAAAGGCAAGACAGCAGAATACGGCGGATGCTGTAACGGCCAAATATGGGACATTCCAACGGTTGCGGGTGGAAAATATCGAAGGTGCATGGCCGAGCTCCGACATTGCACAAAGTGTGCGAGAAGAGAGATACAAAAAGGATCGCCCAGAGGCCACTGCAGAGAGTAGGATTGCAACCATCGCGATCGTGGGTATAATTTGAATATTTGCATCTTTGAGTCCGATCAGGTAAGGAGAAAACCCGGAGCCCGTTCCGTTGTTTGTCAATCGTGTCTCATTGAAAGGAGCCATAACACCCATAGCCAAGGAACTCAGGATATACGGAAAAGCTGTTTGAGCAACGTCAGATATAACTATACTCGGGATGCTGGCGCTAAAAAGCGCTGTTTCGCCAAGTGATTCTGGCACAAGTGATTCTGGCACAAGTGATGCTGGCATTTCCGCTTGGTGCACAATCAACTCAGGGGCAAACGTGAAAGCGATGGAGCCATCGAGAAGACATTGGAGGAAAGCCAGGAATCGTCCCCATACACCTCGAACTAAATACTCATTCATGGCGCCTGGATGTTTCCAGTATTTGAATCCCCATGAGGGCTGCGAATCTATACCCCCAAGACCCAGGGCCAGAGTGAGGACGAAGAGGGTCGCCATTGTGCCAATCTTTATCGCAGTGAACAATCGCTCAGAACTTTTGAAGAGCTTTTCCGGCAGGAAGTTGAATCCAACAACGATGATCGTGATGATAGCCAATCTGATTGCGATCGTGGACCCCGGTTTCCACAGGCCAAGGTTGACCATCGCTGATGTGATTTCGTATGGGACGAATAAAGCGAGGGTGTACCAGCGGAGGTATGCTGAAGCAAATGCCAGACTGCTTGATATGTACAAGTAGCCGTTGGTGACTAGTGTCCCGTGCTGGAATGGCATGTGAGTGGATACCTCGGCCAGGCTCGTGGTCATGACAAAGGTCAGGAAGGATAGGACTATATACGACAGGAGTAGCGAGGCAGGTCCGCCAACTGCGAGCGCCTGGCCAGCGCCGATGAACAAGCCAGTGCCAATGGTCGGACCGACAGCCATGATGAACTAACAATGAATATAGATAATAAAGGGGTTATAGGTGACGAGGGGAGAAGGTTGAGGATGGTTTTGGCTCGAGAAGAAATTCGTCAACGGAGTAACCACGGCATCTCCGAGCATCGCTCTTTCCTCGTGTAATGGAAATAGTTTGAGAAAGATTTGAAAAAAAAAAAAAAAAAAAAAAAAAAAAAAAAAAAAAAAAAAAACAACCTCGAATTTAACTAGTTAGTTCCAGAAATACTACCAAGTGCGATCACAAGAGTATGCAGAAATCAAATGTAAAGGGTATCATTGATTGTGAAGGAAAATAAACGGGGTGATGGCCATGAGGTTGGGAAGAGACCAGTATTGGGCATTTTCAAGAATTTCCAATGATGTCTTGGAGATCACTGAGAAGCCATGTCTGTTTCAGCGAACTCGAGCCATTCTCCAGACAAAGATCTTTTCCAGAACCGAACTGTCCCATCGTCTCCAGAGGAAATCAACGAGTCACCTGACAGTGCATTAGCGAACAGATTTAGGGTTGGAGACAACAAGGATATATATACTCACCAGAGAAGGAGAATTGAACCTGCCACACATCGAGGTGTTTGCTGTCAATGCAAGCCACCTGTTTGAACGAGTGCCTAAATTGTGAATCCCCGTTGGGTTGGCGATCAGTCACCGATGCAGGCACACGGCTTGCCAGAGCGGAGCCAATCCCGGACTGCGATGTCGCCCGAAGTGACGGTGACTGGGACTGAGGCTGGGACTGCATGCGAATCTCCGCCTTACGGCCATTGGAGCTCTGTGGTGCCTGGCCAGCTGGCATCGTGTACACTTCAAAGATGCGGACTAAACCATCCTTGCTGCCGCTCGCAATAAGGTCGTAACCACGCACCGAACCATTGGCCCAGGAAATGTCTCTCACAAGACTGTTGTGTCCATTTAGTTCAATTGCATGGTAGAATCGTCGGTTTGCATCAGTGCGGTAGATTTTGACGGTGTCCATGGCAGCCACAATTAGCGACAGGCTCTTCCGATCAGAATCAGGTGATATAGTGTGAGTGATGTCGGTGGGATCATGATGAAACTGGACTTTGAAACTTGTTTCCTCGCCGCGCTCTGGGGCGGTGCACACCCGAAACTGGTCAACAGGCTGCCAATCTGCAAGGCTATCAGGGCTGACGGGCTCCATAACCATGAGGTAGCCATCGCGTGTTATCACGGCTAACCATGACTCCAGGTCAATGTTGCGAAAGTCGAGTGATACAAAGGGATGTCTTTGGGGTGCGGTCATGCGAAAGACCGATTTGAAACGCCGTCCTGAGTTTGGTGGCTGAGTTACATCTTCTTGCCAAATTTTCAACTTCATATCCTCTCCGACACTGCCAATATGTTGGCCCGTAAAAGGACCATTCCACGTGGCCTGGAATAGTAGTTTAGTACATGCGTTGCAATGGCAGCCTTAGAATTGCGCCCTGGCTTGTTTGGGGACATACATCGCGAATCTCAGCATCGTGCGCGCGCCAGGTGTCTATCAGTTGCCATTGGCCATCCTTGAGATCCCAAACTTTCATGCGGTGATCAGACGAAGCGGTGACAATACGGTTGCCATAGAAGTTAAATCTGGTGACGGTGACGAGATCCCGATGACCAGCGTCGAAGTCGGCAAATCCAGCCGTTATCTCGGGACGCTCCACTCCCCCCATCGGAACGGACTGGGCTATGAGATTGACTAATTAGACAGCTGGGCCAATGACGATTTAAATTTCATGCATCTGCACGTATGGGGTATGAAACAGTTGGTTGACGTCGCCTTACCTTTCTTGGTCGCAAGCATCACGGGATACTCTCTCACCGCTAAATTTAGCGGTCAGATAAGTCTGGCAGAACACGATAAGCTTATCGAATATTTGGAGAATGAAGACAGATTGCGCGTCGCCGACGTGGACTTTTACTCTTGTTACATAGGTCAATTCCTTGTGAATTTCTCTTCGCAGTAGAGGGACCTCGTTCCTACCATCTCGGTCGTCTGTCCGCCATGCATCCCTCAAGCAAGCTCTCCCGCAAGGAGACTTGGCGTCTACTAGCCCTCGTGGGGGCCGGCTTAGCGATACTCAACACCACGTTCCAAGGCGATGGGGCGCCTTTAGTGGCTTCAATTGCACTATGTGGCATAGTGTTTGCGGTGGCTTTCAGCCTTATCAGGTGGCTCGGGCCTGTATTTTTGAAGGCAGGACTTAAGGGCAAAGACATGGCAAAGCCTAGCCGGCCCGAAATGTATGTATATGGCTCTTGAACTTGAGACCATAGCCAGTACTGATATTTTGATCTAGACCTGAAACCATGGGCGCAGTCTGCGCAGTTGTGTATCTGATGTCACTCATTATGTTCATTCCGTTTGCCTTCTACAAGGATATCGTTGCGGCCACATCCGGCGGTGGAAACCGTGACGTTGTGATTGAATCGCAACATATTGAAAATGGTCGATTCCTTCATCGATTCCCACATGGCAAAGTCAGTTTTTATTTTAGATCCAGTGAGGCAGGTCTTAAGCTAACGCGCAATTGAATAGCTCGCCTCTTACCTTTCTGGTCTTTTGTCTTTGCAATCTGTCGTGATTCTCGGAATCGGTGATGATCTATTCGATATTCGTTGGAGACACAAAGTCCTGATCCCTGCTTTCTCCGCAATTCCAATGCTGATTGTGTACTTTGTTGACTTTGGCGTCACGCAAGTCGTCGTGCCGATGCCGCTGCAACCCTACCTGGGTGATGTTGTTGATCTTGGATGGCTGTACTACATATACATGGCGGCGGTGGCAATCTTCTGTCCAAATGCGATCAACATGTTGGCAGGTATTAACGGTATCGAGGTCGCTCAGTCACTAGTGATTGCGATGCAATTGCTATTCAATGATGCCATGTACCTTGCACCCATGACACCATACCCGCACCCTGCCACGGACTCGCACTTATTATCGATATACTTCCTGCTCCCATTCATTGGTGTATCAGCAGCCCTTCTGTTCCATAATTGGTATCCGTCGAAGGTGTTCGTGGGCGATACGTACTGCTATTTTGCAGGAATGGTGTTTGCCGTGGTTGGTATCCTAGGGCATTTCAGCAAAACCTTGTTGCTGCTGTTCATTCCGCAAATCTTCAATTTTCTGTACTCAACCCCCAGCTATTTAAGCTCATTCCTTGTCCTCGCCATCGATTGCCAAAATTCAGCGCTTCCACGGGGTTGCTGGACGCTTCTGTCACGGAATGGACGAATCCCCCGTCGCCTCTGATCGATACCGCACTCCGCTTACTACGCAGCTTGAGATTGGTGCGGATTACCCAAGATGAGAATGGTCGGATTACTGAATCAAGTAATCTTACTATCTTGAATCTTTGGCTGGTGTGGATGGGTCCAATGCGAGAAGACCAACTTGCGTGGCACATGGTTGCAGTACAAACTGTCTGTGGAATGCTCGGTCTGTTTGTACGACATCGCCTCGCGTTGCTCGTATTCCCCCACGATAACAGGGAATTCGGTTTCATCGTATAGCTTTAAAAGTGTCCTGGGTTGCGAGAATCCTGGACCAGGCCCATCATAGGAGCATCACCTTTTCAATGTATATATTTTCAACGCGGAGAGGATACACCAAAAATTCTGGATTGACATTTATATTATTCTACCATACCAATTCTTTCCTAGACTTGCGCCAAAAATTTGATTCCTTGCTTTAACCATTTATTCATGATCCTCGGTCTCGCGCAAACCAGGAGCCTCTCTAGCGATCTTTTTATCCCTGAAGGCTTCTCCAACCTCCTTGACAATGAGCCAGGCGGGAAATATCGCGATAGCCCACAAGCCAAAGTTTAGGTACACACTACCCACTGCGGCCATGATGCTCACGCTACTTAGGCCATACTGCAGACACTTTGTTAGTATTCATGTCGCACAGAAGCGAGATACGAGGTGTACGTACGCTAACACACTGAGCAGCGGATTCAGTCCCACGCAACAAGCCCGCAATCCGGACGACCTCTTCATGATCATCCGCAAGGTTGCCCACCAAGAAAAACCTGATCAATCAGCATCATTCCAACTGAGCCATCACCCATCGAGGTTCAACTTACAGATACATATAGTTGAGCTGGAAGCTAGCAACCCAGAACAGGAAGAGGGCGAAGGCTCTTCCGAAACCCGGGTCGTTCCAGTCATATGTCGGATGTGTCTTGTTGAACTCCGTTGTCACCACTGAAGCCCATATCCAGCACATGCCTTGCCACCCGACGACCAAGAAGAATGCGTACCGGGTTCTCTTTTTCAGAGATATCCGCTTGTTGTCAAGGAAGGCTCCTAGAAGGTTGCCGATGGTCAAAGCAATCACACCAGAAAGGAATGACCCAAGGGCTCTGGCCCGTACTGTGAACCACAATCCCTCGTAGGAAAACATCACAGCCTCTGTATACACAGCCTGGCAAATAAATGGAACGATGTACAGAAACTTGCGACTGATCCAAAGCTTCGACATGCTCTTTAGTTCGTATCCAATGCTGTTCGTCACCTGAAGTTGAACGGGGACTCCATCCTTTCGCTGCACCTGAGATGGATTGTTCAGAAGAAGTCCAGCAAAAGGACCAAGAGCTTGCAGTGCGATGAAAATCAAGTACACAGTGTATGAGATGGAGCCCGAGGTCGATCGATGGGCATTGATGCCCAGACTGATGACACCGCCGAGAATTTGCCCTCCAACACGAAAGCTGAGCCAGAATCCCAAGAAGCGTCCTTGATTGTATGGCTCGGGATATGAGAGTGCAATTGCTGCCTCTGCCATCCAAAAGATGCCCGCTGATATCCCGCAAAGTGCCGCGCCTAGGATCACCAGCCATTCTTTGCCAAATCGGTTGTTTGTGTACAACCCTGCCGCGTAAGGTGCGTATCCCATTGTTCCCACGATGAGTGTCCATTTGATGCCGATAAATCGCACGATGACACTACCGAAGAAGCAAGAGACTACCATAAGCCCGAAGGTCAAGGCGTTCGCTGCGTTGACGAGATAGGGTTCCTCTTCGCCTCCTCCGCCCAAAGAGTTCATGGCGCCCCAAATGCCGGGGGCAAGAAAATTGCAGAGACCGAGGATGAAAGCATTGTAAAATGTCGAACGGTACCATTTGACTTTCAGCGTTATGGTCAGCTTCGTCGGCTTCATACAGTAGCAGTATCCCCAATGTCACCTTTATGTGGACCACCAACCGGCAACACCTCATCACTCGGCGTGACATCTTTTTCAAAGTTCGTCATAATAAAGTAGAATGAATAATTGCGTAGTCAATTTATTTTAACAGGGGGTTATGCTTATTTATAACCATAGCGCCCGCGCGAGATCTACGTATACTTGATATATGGTTGTCGGTTGTACTGCTCGAACCATCTGTCCCGCGCGATGCCAATACCGGGAAGGATTCGTTGTTTTGTGGTCTTTCAGACCCCTGCCTAGCTTCCAAGATATTTCAGCATTAGTGCCCAGTTAATGTTGTCGATCTGCGGTGAAATTACGTGCTCGCACGGGACTTCCAGGAAGCGGCACAAACCCTACCGGTGAATCTGAATTGGAAAACGGTTAGAATGTTCAGATTTAGTGAGAAAGAAGTTTGCCTATGAAGGTACGGAGTACTATCCAAGGGATTGATTATCAATGGGATTTTGAGCATCCGGATATATGGGAACATGGCGATACACTATGAACCCCGGATTTTTATTTTATACAATATGTGGAGTACGTAAAGAATAACTTTTGGTTCAAGGGATATCTGGGGCTTATATTGTACTAATCACTAGTTATAAAAAGGTTTGTTTTGTGTTACAGTTAGTATAGCAAAAGGAACCACATATATATTTCCGATATATCCATAGTTATGAACAATCTAAGTAGATTAATAATTCAAATCAAATGGAATTACTCCATACTATTTGATTATCATTACTTTTAGATCTTACCAAGCAGATATTCGCGATTTCGGTCCAAGGTGTTGAAATCCTAGGGTTGCAAGTTTCGTCATCACAACCCGGGATCACATCAGTTTGGAGATAAACTTCGAGATTTGAGATTTGAGACTGAAATTTTCGAATTTGCACTTGAAAAAAGTAGAGAATATTCAATTTATATTGAATTATTCCGTGTATTCCCATAATAAGATCGCTATCCGTTCCCTTTGGTCATTCTAGTCCTCATGGTCCCCCATCTCTCGGCAAATATAAGAGCGTTGATCGACCCTCGGTCATCGAGTTCATCACGCCATTTATGCCCCGCCATGAGCAATGGACAACGACTACGAATAGACCTCGGAAGTACGGAAACGCTCTCATTCCGCCAATGTGAGACGAAATTATCCCATTGATCTTGCTAGGACGTCCCAGAGCCAAGCGATTAGTGGAGGTGCTCCAACCCTATGTACGTGCTTATGGGATGGATTTGGTATCACTGCCCCGCGCCCTAAAATGAGGCGTGCTTTGGCTTTATCTTCTCGCCCGAGAGATTATATAGACTGGTACCAAGGGCAATATAGATAGAGCCTAAGAGTTGAACTGGCGTTTCTCTGATCCAAGCTTCAAGTCATGCCATTACTACCTCCAAGCACCATGTCAACTACCTCTACTTGCCTCCAACTCGAAGAGTTGCAGAAGACTCCAACCACTTTCCACCAATACCTGTCCTCGGATTCTCTCTCAGATTACTCCAATGAATCAAGATCTGAGAGTGAACCCCCTCGCCGCGGTCTGAGGAGTCAAGACAAAGAGTTTTGCTTCTCAAGGGGGCCCGTGAACAGTATGCATTGGTAGATGATCATGCTATTCCTTCTGTCTTGCATGAGGGAGAGATTCTTGTCAAGGTATGTCATATCCCCGCCGACTGGATCTTGTGTAACATGCGATGCTGACTATTGATTCACAGGTTCTTACAATCGGCCTCAACCCAGTCGACTGGAAGGGACCGTAAGTATTACTCTTCTGTAGCTGGAAATCAGCGTTACCAAATATTATCATTGATGACTAACTCATGAATCGATTAGGGCATTCAACTTTGGTATCCCCAGCCTGCCATGGATCAACGGGCGGGATCTGGCTGGCCTTGTACTACAAGTTCCCAAAGGGTCATCACGTCTTCGTGTAGGAGATGTTGTGTTAGTACCATCAACAGATTACCGGGACATTAGGAAAGCAGCATTCCAAGAATACGCCATCGCCACCGACTTCAATGCTGCCCGAATTCCTTCTTCAACATCTATCCACGCTTCAGCTTCTGTCGGAGTCGCATTTGTCGCTGCTACGTTGGCTTTGGGTGTCTCATTTGGACTAGACTTCTCGCTCATCACCCAAGTCCCTGGCCCTAATTTGCCCAAAATCATCGAAAAACTCGATAGAAATGATATACCCGCCGATATACATGAAGAATGCTTCGCATCATTATTGGACTCAGAAAAGCCACAACGTGGAGACTGGGTTGCTATCTGGGGAGGTAGGACAGCCAATGACTCCATTACTATGATGTGATCACTAACATTTGTACTATAGCCTCAACAACTACTGGCCTGATAACTCTTCAACTGGCAAAACTTGCCGGGTTACGCGTGATATGTGTAGCCGATGCAGCACGGCACGGTGCCAAGCTTGTGAAGTCCGGTGCAGATCTGCTAGTCGATCGACATGACCCTGATCGTGCAGTGGAAATTATTCGCGGTGTCACCGAGGGCAAGCTGCGATATGCCATTGATATAGTCGGAAGAGAGACGGCAACACAGCTTGAAAAGGCTCTTAATCCTGATGGGCATGCCCATCTCCTTGGATTATCCGGTCTGCCTAAAGAGAAAACCCCCGGGGTACAATATCACACTGTGCCCATTAAGCTCTTCCACACGGCTCCCACCGTGGGTGAAGCCATGGTGTGCTGGTTGGAAGATCTTCTGCACACGACAAATCTCACATTACCAGAAATTGTTCATGCAGAGGGTGGACTAGAAGGTATTAATGCGGCCCTTGAGACGTTGCGGAGTGGTTCTGTGTCTGGAAAGAGGATCGTGGTCGACCTGGGGTCTGCGCCTCGGTAGCCTCGTGCGTTTTTACTACACTTTATGAAAATTTGCTTTAGAGAGACATGGGCATTGGCGTTTTGGTATTACTTTAGGTAGATTGGGTTTTAGACCATGAAACAAGTTCAAAATTTGATAGTTCTTTTGCTAAGAACATATGAATGCATCTTCTTCGATATTGTGGAATGAGAGCCGAGGGAGAGAGTAGATCAATATATACAACCTACAGCCAGCTAGACCATGGGGAACTCCAAAGGCTATAATATATGGGTTAGTGAGGTTCCCCAGATGATCCCCATCTCCACTTGGTGTATGCCACAACACCCTGTTCGCAGTGCTAAGCGTATAAGCGTTGAGTCAAAAATTGGCGAGCCGATCGGAGGGAAACCTTGCAAGCGACCAGCCAATCAGCGGCTCTGAATTACTTTGGTCCGGAGCGGTCGACGAGTATCCGCCGGGAGCCGTGATTAGCCGCGATCCCCTTTTTGGATTATGCAGCGAAGACCGATATCGGCCTACCCCTGTGTTGCCACCTCGGCCAATAAAATTCGTACCATTCGCCGCTGACCGGCCGAAACCGGCGTTGCCCCTCGAGAAGCTCTCCAGCGACATCGCGGATGCTTCAGAGCAGAAAAATATAACAGTCATTCCCATTCCAGTTCCCTAGTTCTTGGTACTTACTACTTACATACTATATTGCTTCATTGGAGCTTCCACCTATTACCCTCCTTTCCTATCTCATCTTCAAACCCCCTACCTTTACATCCTCTCTTCCTAGCCGTTTTTTACCCACCCCCACCATGCCTTCCGCCGAGTCGAAACCCAGGACCCTGTACGACAAGGTGTTCCAGGACCACATCGTCAATGAGCAAGATGATGGAACTTGCCTGATCTACATTGACCGACACCTCGTTCACGAGGTTACATCCCCACAGGCTTTCGAGGGCCTCAAAAACGCTAGCCGCAAGGTCCGCCGGCCGGATTGCACTCTGGTTACAGTTGATCACGTATGTTAAGTCCCATATCCGTTAGCAGCTCACGACTAATCGGACTGTTTTTACCGTATAGAACATTCCTACCTCTTCACGGAAAAGTTTTAAAAATGCCGCGGACTTCATCAAGGAGAATGATTCGCGTCTCCAATGCACAACCCTGGAGGAGAACGTGAAGGATTTCGGCCTCACCTACTTCGGTATGGGCGACAAGCGCCAGGGTATTGTCCACATTATTGGCCCGGAGCAGGGTTTCACTCTGCCCGGCACGACTGTTGTCTGCGGTGACAGCCACACCTCCACACACGGTGCTTTCGGTGCCCTCGCGTTCGGTATCGGAACCAGTGAAGTCGAGCACGTCCTCGCAACCCAGACCCTTATTACCCGCCGCAGCAAGAACATGCGCATCCAGGTTGATGGTGAGCTGCCCGCTGGTGTCACCAGTAAGGACGTCGTTCTCCACATCATCGGTGTCATTGGTACTGCTGGTGGTAACGGTGCCGTTATTGAGTTCTGCGGATCCGTCATCCGTGGACTGAGCATGGAGGCACGTATGTCAATGTGTAACATGTCCATTGAGGGTGGTGCCCGTGCCGGTATGATCGCACCCGACGAGATCACTTTCGAATACCTCAAGGGTCGTCCTCTGGCCCCCAAGTACGGCAGTGCAGAGTGGAACAAGGCCACCAGCTACTGGTCCAGTCTGAAGTCGGATGCTGGAGCCAAGTACGATAGCGAGGTCTTCATTGACGGCAAGGATATTATCCCCACCATCTCATGGGGTACCTCCCCCCAGGACGTGATCCCAATCACTGGTGTTGTCCCCGGCCCCGATGACTTCGAGGATGAGAACCGCAAGACCTCTTGCATCCGTGCTCTCGAATACATGGGCCTTGTCCCTGGTACACCCATGAAGGATGTTGTGGTTGACAAGGTCTTCATCGGATCTTGCACCAACGCCCGTATTGAGGATCTGCGTGCCGCAGCCAAGGTCGTCAAGGGCCGTAAAATTGCCTCCAACATCAAGCGTGCTATGATCGTCCCTGGATCCGGTCTCGTCAAGGAGCAGGCTGAGTCCGAGGGCCTCGACAAGATCTTCACTGATTCCGGTTTCGAATGGCGTGAGGCTGGGTGCTCTATGTGCCTGGGTATGAACCCAGATATCCTCTCCCCCAAGGAGCGCTGTGCCAGTACCTCCAACCGTAACTTCGAGGGTCGCCAGGGTGCTCAGGGTCGTACTCATCTCATGTCTCCCGCCATGGCTGCCACTGCTGCCATTGTTGGCAAGCTGGCCGATGTTCGTGAGCACGTCGTTGCCAGTCCCGTTCTCGGCAAGGCCTCCCCCAAGATCGACGTCCAGCCCGTCTTCGAATCCCCCGCGACCGAGGACGAACTCGACCGTGTCCTGGACTACCCTGCCGACAACGAGCCCCACGCCAACTCCTCAGCCCCTGCTAGCGGCGCTGACAAGAGCAGCGGTCTTCCCCCTTCACTACCCTGAAGGGTATCGCCGCGCCTCTGGATCGCGCTAACGTCGACACCGACGCCATCATCCCCAAGCAATTCCTCAAGACCATCAAGCGCACTGGTCTCGGTACCGCGCTGTTCTACGAGCTCCGTTACACCGATGACAAGGAGAATCCCGATTTCGTCCTGAACCAGGGCATTTACCGTGACTCCAAGATCCTGGTTGTTACCGGTCCTAACTTCGGATGCGGTAGCTCCCGCGAGCACGCCCCCTGGGCTCTGCTCGACTTCGGTATCAAGTGCATCATCGCCCCCTCCTTCGCCGATATCTTCTTCAACAACACCTTCAAGAACGGCATGCTGCCCGTCGTCGTCTCCGATGAGGTTGCTCTGCAGAAGATCGCCGATGAGGCCCGCGCCGGCCGTGAGGTTGAAGTCGACCTTGTCAACCAGGAGATCAAGGATGCCCAGGGTAACAAGATCACTGCCTTCGAGGTCGAGGAATTCCGCAAGCACTGCCTTGTCAACGGCCTGGATGATATTGGTCTCACTCTCCAGATGGAGTCTAAGATCCGCACTTTCGAGTCCAAGCGTACCCTTGATACCCCCCTGGTTGGATGGCAGTGCCTACCTCCGTCGTGACCGCCGTGGCGCGACTATGGTTGAGGCTGCTCCCGTTCCCAAGACCAACCGCGGTGATGTGGTGAACGAGCCTCTTGAGTGGTAAAAGTTGTTCTTTGTGTTTGTCAAGTCCCCGTGTCTGGTTATTGGCACTGCATGAATTCATTTTTCTGTCACGTTGTTTTGATTTCAGAATCATATTCCCCTACTTGTTGCGGCTACTATTTGTGTTTTGTTTTGCCTTGGATTAATCATGGGCTATATTATAATTTAGGTAGCCTACGAATTTCAACGAGAATGAATTATGATCATCGATTTGTAATTCTATATAACAATTTCCTCTTGTATTCCTCCCTCTCTTCCCTCCCCATTTTTATTGTATATCAATCTGTAGGCTATACACACCCCTTCAAAGAGCACATTTGACCATTATCCTCCCTTGCTTGTCCTCGACCCAACATAATCCTCGAGCTGCAATGTCATTGGGCGTTCTATGCCGTCGACGACCAGGTGTCTGACATCCGAAGGCCCAACAAAACGGTTTGTTGCGGTGGTAAACCAGGTGACGAGGCTGAGCAGTATCACCAGCCCGATAGCTGCACTAGTATAATTCATCGACCCAGAGGTGACCGGGGCATCGGAGGGAAAATTGAACGTGATAGAAGCAAATAACAAAAATAGAAGGCCAATCGAACTGAAACCGAGTGACAGCGGAAGCGGCAATGAATGTGGTCCATCGAAGGAGCATTGGTGGCGAAAGAAATAGCCAAGTAATCTAGCAAGAAGGACAAGACTGTAAGAAACATCTAAATTAAATCCACATTAGCTGCTTAGTCCTAGTGGTCAACCGGAGTCAAATATGTCAACGTACAGAACCCCGTAGTAGCTATTGAAATCACCGTTTCAAACCCCGTCTCCGTACCGAAATAAATCGCATTCAGGCTAAGCTGAACTGCGACAGTGAGAAAAAATAGCGTACAGAGGTATCTTTTTCTTTGGGTCGACTTCAGACCACAACCCTGAAAATGGTAGCCCGTGGTCTCGTGCAAAGGCATATACTGATCGTGATCCTTCAGCGACAAGACTGATAGACGTGACCATGATGATGACGGTGATCATACTGGCCAGAATGCAGGTCCCGACTTTGCTTTGCGTCGAGTCGTAGAAGATCTGGATGACTGGAACCCCGGTGCTTGAGTTGGCTGTTGCTTCGATATCACCCATGCAAAAGCACAGTGTCAGCAGGAAGAGTAGTCCAGTTACACCCCCCATGATGACCGACAAGATGATTGCCTTCGGTGCATCTCGACTGGCGTGGGTCATCTCTTCTGTCATATGGCTCGGCGCGTCGTAGCAGCACATGCCGAAAAAGCTTTGTAGGATCCCAATTATAGTAGCCATTGAAGCGCCAAAGCCGGTCATATTCCGGAACTCGTGGAATACGAAATCTGTGTCTTGCTTCTGGTGATTCATTGCTAAGAGTGTGGTGATCACAATGATGAAAGAGGCGATGTTCCACACCAGGATGATGCGAGATAGACGATGCAAAGCGTGCGGTGCGAATACATTCATGACGAGAGCAAATAGCCCTACGGCCCAGGCAACCAGGACGGTATGCCACCGCTCAATAAGGAAGCCTGGGAAGACCAGGTTGACTTGGCCCAGGATATAATTCGATCCAAAGGAATTGTTAACCGCGCCCATGGCGAGAATTCCTAGGAAACAAGTCAGCAAGTACGCACCACCAAATATCGACGGACACGAACCGGTCAGCATAAACCACCCAGTGATATAAGAAAGCTGTCGGGAAACTTGAGGTGGTGCTAGCATGGCAACCCACGAGTACTGGCCTCCAGCTACTGGCCAGCGCGAGCACATCTCAGCCATTGCCAGGGCAATGAACATGGTGAACACACAAACTCCGATCCAGCCAAAGATCATGACAGGTGGGCCACCTGCCTGGATTCCAATGATGAAGACACCGCTTAAGGCTGTCCAGCTGTTCGAGGTTAGACATGGCCCCTGTGCTCGGTTGAGGGATATGCCCACCAGGTCACAATACTGAAACTGAACCCCACCATATCTAACAGACCGAACGATCGTTTGAATTCTTGCGGGTACCCCATATTCCCGAGAGCGACGTCCTCATCTGTCGAGGCACCGAATATCTCCTTGGGAGCCATGTTGATGAGAAGCCGACAATGCTTTGGAGGTGCTTATCGTTGATCAATGCTGCCGCGAAGCAAGGGGTATGTCCACCGATTTCGCATATAAACATATTTGAGGATTGTATCACGACAAATAAGAGGTGCACTTACTGCTGAAGATGCTGGGGATTCTTTTCGGCTTCTGATGGAGCATGACAGAAAGTTCGAACTAGATTTGACGATCACCAGGAATTAGTCGGGTGTTTTTGCATCGAACTGCGCGATGTTTCTCGACGGTAACTTCCCGATAGTAGATATTAAGAGCCAAAAGTAGATATATTGCTCCTGGATACCGCACTGCGATACTCAGGGGAAGTCTTGTTGTAGGCCTTGGATAATTTTGTCAAGTGAGTGCATAGAATCGAGGTGGGCACATGAGGGATTTCTCAACTTGTGATGCCCTCAGCACAACTAGTATTGGAATTCAGGTCTGCCAGCAAGGTCTCCCAGCTTATATAAATGCAAATATCCACATTGGGCGAAACATTCTATGCCTTAGATCTAAAATAGAGTAGATGTGCTTTTTTTGACCACATGGTAATGATGCGGGATTTATATGAAGTTAAGGTTCTGCCGGGCAAAAACCTGGGTAGTGCAGTAGTTAAGAGCGATGTCAAACTTGCAAGATTGCCATCTTAACGAAGCATAGGCCTGAGTTCGATCCCCCTTGGAACCAGAGTTCGCGGTCTGATGGCTATCTTAGTGATGTACTGCTGGGAATCTTCCTTTATTTTTTATAATTAATTAAAATGTTAAAATGAGGGGAGAACTATTTGTCGAAAATTCTGACTTCGTGTCTATGCTTCTCTCGGTACCCTGTTATCATTAATAACCATCGGGCCTACGTATATTAATCCTCGACTGGCCACTATGAACACCACAAACTCGATATATTAACGAACTGTTCGAGGTTTCCTGTGAGAATAAGGTTGTAGTAGGTGGGTCCAATAGGTGGGTCCAGAACATCCACCTGAGCACGGATTTATGATAACAATAGTGGGGGCGGGGATTTATATGAAGTTAAGGTTTTGCTAGGCAATAACCTGGGTACTGTAGTAGTTAAGAGCAATGCCAACTTGCAAGATTGCTCTTAGCGAGGCGTAGGCCTGAGTTCGATCCCCCTTGGAACCAGAGTTCGCGGTCTGATGGCCATCTTGGCGATGTACTGCTGGGAATCCCCCTCTCTTCTTTTTTTCAATGCGACCAGAAGGGTATGTATCTCCCTCAGGTCAGACTTATTTTGCTTTACTACATACTTACCGACTTGCCTTTCACTGACTGCTTCTTATGCATCTCGGTCTCTCCCCCTTAAGTACAGATCTTGGTTGACTGTATCATGGGCTCGCTTGAATGCATCATGGGCGGTTGCCAGGAAAGGTACTAGGTTCTGTTTTTCAAAGTGACCTTCAGAAAAAGGAGACCGATCGAATACTGGGTATTATGAATAGCCAGCCATAATCTGGCTTGTCCGTTGTTTACTGACATTATATCATTATATTAGACACTAAATACTTAGCCAGTTTCTGTCTGACAACGAATAAGCCACACGAACAAACAACATGCAAGTATTTCATCAATGTACGCACGGAAACTCGAAAAGGTCACAATATCAGGGCTCGAATCACCATTCCATTTCGCGCACTTCCAACAAAACAAGTCCACATTTGTTCACGGCTTCGATAGTTGCTCCCTTCGGAAGAAAAGAAGAAAGCCACCACTTGAATTGAGGCGTCAGATGGGATTGAAAATATTCTCATAAGGACCACATACCAGATCGAAAGCTGCAACAAAAGAGCAATCCAAAACCAAGCGTTACCCAACGCACCCGCACCAGCCGTGATATCCGGTGAGATAGGCCCTGGTCCAATGTTGTTTGGTGCGAAGGCTCTTGCACAAATCGTAGCAAAGGGAGCCTAGGACCTGTGATACCAGAAGGGTGAAGCATATATGCATACGTGTCAGTGTTTGTAGCAGGATCATACCAAAACCGAGACCTTGTAATGCGTCCAAGACCCCGAGCCACAGCCAGAGACTCCGGGATACAAGAGCTCCTGAGGCATAACCTCCAGCCCAGGGGAGGTACAGGCCGGATCCAGATGTTCCCCACCAGATTTGGGCCCAACGAGGTGCACCCAGACCACATGCGAGAACTGGGAGGATCCAACTATGTGACTTGGATAGTCTAGCTAGCAGGAAGAGAACTGCTATCCACACAAAGCCAAAGAATGCAACACAGAGAAGTAGGATTTGCCACGGGCTAGCGTGCTGGGTCATCCAGAGGACTGTCGTAATAATTAGTGTAATCCAAGGTATAGGAAGGGGGAATAGATAGCAGGGGCCTTCTGGAAAATGGAGACTCACAATTCCAGTTTCGACCATATGGGGCACTTAAAAAGAAGTTTTGGATAATGACGACCACCCAGTTCCAAAGTACAATCTTGCGTCGGAAGACAGATTTGTAGAATGATGGCACTTTGCCGGGAGTTTGGCGATAGTAGTTTGGCAAGCCGAAATAGACGATGAGGCCGATTGCCCATAGAAACAGGGTGATTGGTGTACATATCGCTCTATGGTAATGTGTTAAAAAGTCTCCGGCTTTTGTGATGAAGATTTCGATGTTATACGCACGTCATTCTCCAGGTGTTGGTGACACTGCCCTGCACATCGGTGATTCCAGTGTTCGTAGCTTTAGTCAAAGTTGAACCCCAGTACCAAAGAGCAATGACATAGGCTTGCTGTGTGCCCTGGATAAGACAGGCACGGAACACCCACTGCTTGACCGGTGCACCGCTCTCATCGCCGAAATTGAGGGCAAAGAAGATAGAACCACTAGATGATGCAGCAGCATAGATGCTACTTCCAACATTTTGAATCCATCCGCGATTGTATGAGTTGGGCTCAAAGTGTGCCATTCCGATGATCAAGAATGCCGTTCCGTATAGGAACCATGGCACGCTAAGAACGATCACGGATTTGCAGTATCGGAAGAAAAACCACCATAGAATAGAAGTAATAAGATAAACTGTCGCGATTCCATACAGCTTCGTAGCGGTCTGGCCCACCTCTCCGGTGAGAAGGGTAACCTGGTAAGAGTTGGCAGCAATGATTTGGCCTAGTCCGAGGAAGAGGGAATACACGGGCCATTCACCGATGCGCATTTGCATCCATTTCTTCAGTCCTGTCGGTGGAACGTAGCCATCCCCAAGAAGGAATTCATCCCGCGCAGCTTCTTTTCTCTCGCGCTCACCACTTTCATGGGATGTCGCATCGTCGTTGGTAACTGACCCAGTTGGGGATACTCCTGTTTTGACCCGATGTACTGAGCCAGCCGGGGAGCCTTGGTTGATACCAAGGCGTGCATCACGGAATCTGTTGAACCATTTCTTTTCGCTCTTTTCGAGGTATTGTTCAATGCAGAGTTGGGTATCTGAGTTCGCCCCATTGAGGTCCTTGAGTCTTTTTTCAAACACTCTGTAGTACTCGCCGTTGCTGTCAGTGAAAAAAGGGTCAATCTTTTGAAGTTTGAAGTCTTTCTTCTCTCCAATAACCGAATCCACAGACAGGACTGAAGTGTTACTGAGACGATTTCCTGGTTCCGCCCAGGGACGAGAAGGAGGGATAAGGGTGTCATCTGTCCCGACAGTACTTGGTGCCGTTGAACTAGATGGTGTGTTGCTGCATCGAGCCAATAGGGAGCCTTGACTTGCGCGTTGGGCTGAGAGAGCCTCTTTGGTGAGTGCCACACCCATAGGCTGGGCAGTTTGTGCACGTCCTGGGTCCGTTCCTTCAGGTGATATGGAATAGTCATCATCACCGTAGCAAGTGGCCATCATTTCATCATCGCTATTTTCTTCGGCCTCTGGAGAGGCTCTACCAGCACTCTCATCACCCTCGACAACACTGCCTTTCCGGAAGTCGGATCGACCACGAGGCTCTATGGTGCCAGATAACGGCCGCACACCTTGAGATATCTGGCAACTGAGTCCCGACCGAGGTCTCCCATCAAATCCAGGGCTTGCGTTACGACTGTATATTATAGAACTTCGCTGGAATGATCCTGTCGTACCCGGACGGTTTGAGGGTTGTAATGGAAGCGTTGACGCTCCCGATCTTGTCGACGCAGCCTGCGGCGTCATAATCCCGTAGATAGAGTTATATGCCCCAGACGCAGTGAACTGGCTCTGGGATTTAGCTAGTTCCTTTTGATGGACTCGAATCGATGTGGACTGTAAGATCTCAAGATCTTCGACCCACTGAGCAACTGGAAATCGTTGCTTGGCAGATCTCGCGCGCATCATTGCCCTCACCTCGGGCCTAGAGTTTAATGCACTGTCGATGGCCAACTTGAACTGTTTCAACAGATGGGAGGTAGTGGTGGACTCAACCGTATACCACCAGCCAGGCATCTGCCCGAGTCCCCCTACTCTGGCCCCAATGCCAAGGGCACCCTTCCTACCAAATTCAACAGCGACAAGGCCGAAGGGTTCATCGCGTGATGGAATGAGCGCAAAGTCTGCGCCAGAGAAGATGAACTGTGGTAGGACCGTGAACTGAGGTTTGGAGCACACCCGACCAGGGTAAAGCTTCATCATTCGATCCAATTTTAACGCGGCAAATTTGCCATATAAGTCAATAATGGGGCCGATGCAAATCATCTGGACATGTTCTCGACTCTCTAGTACCCCAGGCAAGACATCGGCGATCAAGTCGATACCCTTTTGCATTGACCATCTTCCAACAAAGACTAACAAATCAGCGTCAGGTCTTTGCTTAAGACCAGCCCATTCTTGAGCTTGACGCTTCAGCTCTGCTCTGCGAATTTCGAAGTCATTGTCGACATTAATATCACTTTCCTTAGGCAAGGCTCTATCCCACTCGCCTGTGTCGGAGGGGTCGGGATTTGGTAGGTTTCCAACTTTTCTTAAGCCCCAAAAGATTGGATATCGAGCATATGACCGTTTTCCATACTTCTTAGA